GGAGGAGGAGGAGGAGGAGGAGAAGAAGGGGGAGGAGAAGAAGAAGAGGAGGAAGGCGGCCGGGTGCTGTGGCTCACACCTGTAATCCTGGCACTTTGGGAGGCTGAGGCAGGTGGATCACGAGGTCAGGAGTTTCAGACCAGACTGACCAACATGGTGAAACCCCATCTCTATTAAAAACACAAAAATTACCTGGACGAGGTGGTGGGTGCCTGTATCCCAGGTACTCGGGAGGCTGAGGCAGGAGAATCGCTTGAACCCAGGAGGCGGAGGTTGCAGTGAGCTGAGATCACACCACTGTGCTCCAGCCTGGGTGACAGAGTGAGATGATTCAGTCTAAAACAAAAAGAAAAAAGAAAGAATTTGGAGAAAGAAGCAACCGGGTTGGCAGGTGGACTGGATGTAGGGATGAGTGGAAGCGCGCGGGAAGCGAGGACGGCCCCTGAGCTCCTCCTTTAGAACCTGGTGGTTGCTGGTGCCATTTGCTGAGGGGGAAGATGAGAAGAAGCCGGCTTGGGAGGAAAGACCACGAGTCCTGTGGGTTTCCTATCGACACTGTAACAAGTGACCACAAATGGAGTAATGGCTTACAACAACACAGGTTTATTATCTTTTTTTTCCCACTGTGTCACACAGGCTAGAGTGCAATGGTGCAATCCTGGCTCACGGAAACCTCTACCTCCTGGGTTTAAGCAATTCTCCTGTCTCAGCCTCCCAAGTAGCTGGGACTACAGGCGTGCACCACCTTGCCCAGCTAATTTTTGTATTTTTGGTAGAGATGGGGTTTCGCCCTTTTGGCCAGGCTGGTCTTGAACTCCTGACCTCAGGTGATCCGCCCGCCTCGACCTCCTGAAGTGCTGGGATTACAGGTGTGAGCCACCGCGTCCGGCTGCAACTTTATCATCTTGTAGTTTTGGAGGCCAGAAGTCTGAAAAGATGTCAGCAGGGCTGGGTCCCTTCTAGAAGCCCTGAGGGAGAATCCGTTTTCTTGCCTGTTTCGGCTTCTAGAAGCTGCCTGCACTCCTTGGCTCACAGCCTCCTCCTCCGCCTTCAGCCTGCAGCACAGCAAGCTTTGCATCTTTCTCCAACTCTGATTCTCCTGACTCCCTCGTAAAAGGGCCCTTGTGATTTCAGGGGCCTGCCCAGATCGTCCCAGATAACCCCCACCTGGTGATCCTTAATTTATTTAATCACATCTACATCTATCCCTTTTGCCATAAATGCAACATAGTCACAGGTTCTGGGGAATTGGGCGAGGACATCTTTGGGAGACCATTATTTTGCTTGCTATAGCAGATGGCTGGGTGGGAATTTCAGCATTTACAGGTGTATTGAAGCCATACAAGGGATCACTAGGAGAATGTGCCGGCAAGGAAGACAATGACCCGCCCCAGGGTTCTGGTGGCAGATAGAGGTTCTGCCTCACTTCTGAGGAGTGAGGAGTGAGTAGGGGAAATCTAGAAGACAGTGTTTCAAGGAGCCAGGCACAATGGCTCGGGATGATGCCTGCCATCCCAGCACTTCTGGAGGCCGAGGCGGGCAGATCACCTGAGGTCGGGAGTTCAAGACCACCCTGACCAACATGGAGAACCTCATCTCTACTAAAAATATAAAAAATTAGCTGGGCATGGTGGTGCAACACATGTAATCCCAGCCACTCAGGAGGCTGAGGCAGGAGAGTCGCTTGAACCCAGAGGTGGAGGTTGCAGTGAGCCAAGATTGCACCACTGCACACCAGGCTGGGCAACAAGAGTGAAACTCCATCTCTAAATAAATAAATAGAAAAAAGAAAGGGTTGGCCGGGCGCGGTGGCTCAAGCCTGTAATCCCAGCACTTTGGGAGGCCGAGGCGGGTGGATCACGACGTCAAGAGATCGAGACCATCCTGGTCAACATGGTGAAACCCCGTCTCTACTAAAAATACAAAAAATCAGCTGGGCATGGTGGCGCGTGCCTGTAATCCCAGCTACTCAGGAGGCTGAGGCAGGAGAATTGCCTGAACCCAGGAGGCGGAGGTTGCGGTGAGCCGAGATTGCGCCATTGCACTCCAGCCTGGGTAACGAGAGTGAAACTCCGTCTCAAAAAAAAAAAAAAGAAAGGGTTACAGGGAGACGGTTGCTTATGTCCAGGCCTTCTGAGAGGTCGAGGAAGGTGAGGACAAAAAAAAAAAAAAAAAAAGAAAGGGTTACAGGGAGACGGTTGCTTATGTCCAGGCCTTCTGAGAGGTCGAGGAAGGTGAGGACAGTGAGGGGACCGCTGGACGTGGCATTGTGGGGACCAAGTAGAGGAGGCTGGGAGTCCCGGTCGGGTGGCTGAGTGGGGGTGGGCGGAAGCACACACAGGCGTAGACCTCGTCATTATCTGGTAAGCCACCCCGGCGTGTGGACAGACTTCATAACTGGGTAACATGTCGTGATGGGAACTGAGGAAGTGAAGACAGTATCTCATGTCTGCCCCCATCCTGTGCTCTTCAGTCTGTCCCAACCCACGGTAGCCACATCATGACCTTTGAAAGCACAACTAATTATGAGCTTCCTGCCACCATCCCCCCATTTTTTTTTGAGACAAGAGTTTGCTTGTTGCCCAGGCTGGAGTGCAGTGGTGCGATCTCAGGTCACCACAACCTCCGCCTCCCGGGTTCAAGTGAGTCTCCTGCCTCAGCCTCCTGAGTAGCTGGGATTACAGACATGCGCCACCATACCCGGCTAATTTCGTATTTTTTTATAGTAGAGACACGGCTTCTCCATGTCGGTCAGGCTGCTCTCGGACTCCCGACCTCAGGTGATCCACCCACCTCGGCCTCCCAGAGTGCTGGGATTACAGGCGTGCACCACCGCGTCCGGCCTCACTCCCCCTTTATAAAGTCCTCCATGGTTCCCTACTGCCATCCACAGAAATACCTTGAAGTCGGTTCACTGTTACCACCCGTGTCGGGTCCCATTCCCCCGTCCTCTGTTACAGTCCCAGGAGCTCACTCTCTGCCTCCTGACAGCTCAGTGCTGCCTGGGGAACGTGGATGGCGAGAATGTTTAGGCTGTCACTGGACTCTGCCGTCTGGGGCTGGTTGGGGGCAAGAAGTTTGTAGTCAGGAGTCCTATCTCCCGAGGCTGCCTTAGTCAGGCTGAGACAGCCACCCCCAAACCTCCAGTTCTTTTCTTTCTTTTTGAGGCAAAGTCTCACTCTGTTGCCCAGGCTGGAGTGCAGTGGCATGATCTCGGCTCACTGGAACCTCCACCTCCCAGGTTGAAGCAATTTTCTGTCTCAGCCTCCCAAGTAGCTGGGACTACAGGTGTCTGCCACGACACCCGGCTAATTTTTGCATTTTTAGTAGAGACAGAGTTTCACCATGTTGGTCAGGCTGGTCTCGAACTCCTGACCTCAGGAGATCCGCCTGCCTTGGCCTCCCAAAGTGTTGGGATTACAGGCGTGAGCCACGGCACCCAGCCTCCAACCCTCCGGTTCTGACTGACTCACAGGATAGAGGCACCAGCGTGCTCTTCCCAGGAACCAAGGCCAGTCAGGGCAGGTCCCCTGGGTGGACCCCCAGGAAGCCAGCACTGCCCCCGACGGAGCCAACCCGGCTACTGGTGGTTCTGGTCTCCCATCCCTGTCCCCACTAGAGAGCAGAGTTTTTATTAACCATCAGTTTCACCCCTTCTTTGTCAGGGTGGGTGGGGGGTTGCATTTAACCATTTCCTGCCTGGAGCCGTGCAGAGATAGAGGTTGAGATGTCTTCCCCATATGCAGAGTCTGGGCTAGGAATCTTCCGGCTAGACAGGAGGCTGTGAGCCACACAGCTGGAAGGGGAAGTGACTGGGCTGGCTGGGAGAAGAAACGTCAGCCAGCCAGCTCAGCTTTGCCATCTCCCTCCCACTCAGGCTCCTGGTCACCAGCCCCAGAACCAAGACGACACCAGAGCCCCTCCATCGATGTGTCCTTGCCCAGGATAAAATCCTTTGCCATCCTGTAGGTAAGTCAGCCCCAACTCCAGGGAATGCTCCCCAGGATCCCTTTCTAGCAATCCAACTCATCTAAACCCAACAGTTCCCACCCAGCCCTGCCTGACCCAGCCCATCCACCCCTGGACTCCAGCACTGCCCACAGCAAGACCTCTGTCCCAATGCCCAGGCTCATCTCAGCCCAATCTTAATCCCTGGCCCCCTTTCCTGATGCAATCCTAGCCACAGAAATCACGCATACATAAGATGTATTGCGTGCCCACCGTGTGCCTGGCCGTCTATGAGTCATTCACTTTTCATTCTCAAAACCACACCATTTACAAGAGAGGAAGCTATAGTTCAGATGATTTAAGTCTTTTGGTGGCCAGTATGACAAAGGTCACACTTTCACTGTCGGTAGCTGATTCCACACTCTAGCCCATCCTGGTGCAACTCATCACACCTCAGTGGAATTCACCCCTACCTGTTCAGTCTAACTGCGCCATCCTAGGAACCAGCATGGGGCCTGGCATATTTTAGGTACTCAGTAAATGGCATTTGAATGAATGAATGAATGAATGAATGAATGAACCTGATTCTTCATTAACTAAACTCTATGCATCCTACCCAATCAAACTCAAGTCACAGATTACTGACAACCTCTATTTATAATATATATATTATAAATAGAATCCTTGTCTGAGGCTGGCACTGTGGCTAACGCCTGTAATCCCAGCACTTTGGGAGCCTGAGATGGGAGGATCACCTGAGGTCAGGAGTTCAAGACCAGAGCGCCGTGGCTCACTCCTGTAATCCCAGCACTTTGGGAGGCCAAGTTGGGTGGATCACCTGAGGTCAGGAGTTCGAGACCAGCCTGGCCAATATGGCAAAACCCCGTATCTACTAAAAGTACAAAAATTACAGATGCTTCCTTTTTTCAGTAGCACTAGACCTAGAAAACAAACAAAAAAATAAATAAATAAAAAAGGAGTTCAAGACCAGCCTGGCCAACATGATGAAACCCCGTCTCTACTAAAAATACAAAAACCAGTGGGGCATGGTGGTGGGTGCCTTTAATCCCTGCTACTTGGGAGGCTGAGGCAAGAAGATCGCTTGAACCTTAGGAAGCGGAGGTTGTAGTGAGCAGAGATTGCGCCACTGCACTCCAGCCTGGGTGACAGAGCAAAACTCCATCTCAAAAAAAAAAAAAAAAAAAATTAGCCAGGCATGGTGGTGCATGCCTGTAATCCCAGCTACCTGGGAGGCTGAGGCAGAAGAATCGCTTGAACCCGGTGAGCTGAGATTGTGCCACTACACTCCAGCCTGGGCAACAGAGCAAGACTCAGATGAACAGATTCAATCTCAGTCCAGCAGGGTTGACTGAGTGATTCCATGACTCAAAAATAAGACAGTGTCCTGAGGCTGACAGTGGGAGGAAGAGGAAGAAGCTGCCATTTCGGCCCCTGAGGCTATGGGCAGTAAGATTCATTCCCCAGGATGGGTCTTTGAGGCTGGCGGTTTCCCCGGGTCACACATCGAGTCCCGCGGCATCGCGTACATTCCTTGGCACTCACCCGCCCACCAGGTGCTGCTTCTCCATGCACCTGCCCCGCCAAGCCCCCTGGGGAAAGCCCCGGGCATCAGCCACTGCTGGACGCCCGCCAGCATGTTCACAGGCTGGGCACAGAGCAGACGCCATGGGCCTGTGTTGAATGGTCAGTCGGTGAACCCCACGGATGGGTACTCAGCCCTGGACGTGTCCAGGCCTGACCTGGAAGGCCCCCGTTCTAGCTTTCTAGAGGCTTCTCTGAGTGCCAACAGGTCCTCATGGGGCCCTCACCAAGGTGGGCCTGTGCCTCTGACCTTGGCTTTGGGTCTTTGCCTCCCAGAGTCCCCAGGCCCTTACCTGGGTTTCACTTTTTCAGGGCATGTCCCCATCCCCAAGGGGAAGCACCGGGGAGTGACAGTTGCCCGGAGCCACCATGGTGTTCTGGTGAGTGCATGGGGGGCGGGGAGGAGGAAGGCCCCCGGCAGGTGGGTGCTCACCCTTGCAGCTGACCCTGGTGCTGATGCTGTTCCCACTGGCATGCTGCTCCCAAGGCTGAGTCTGGCTGTCTCCCTGGTGCCAACCCCAGGACTGACTGTGGCTCTGACCACCTGTGCTGATGCCAGGGCTGACCTAGGTACTCCCTGTCACCCAGCACACTCATGCAGGGCTGGGCCTCAGCCTTGACCCCAGCACTGACTCCGACACCTGGTGGCAGGGGGCGGCCGTTCCTGTGCCCCTGCCTGGTTGAGTCACTGAGTTCTGGAATGGGGGTGAGAATGTGTCTGTGGCTCGGGAACACGGGGTGACCTGGTCTTTCCTCACCCTCTCTTCCCTCCCCTAGATATGCATTCAAGTGCTGGCCCGGCAGCCCCACAGCCTCAGCTCAGAGCTCACAGGCACCTGCAGCCTCCTGGCCCCTGACCTCCGTCTGCAGGCTCAGGCCAACTTCTTCAGCCTTGGTAAGGACTGGACACTCACTGGCCTTGGATAGCTCTAAGGACATTTCCAAAAGGCCCGGCGCGGTGGCTCATGCCTGTAATCCCAGCATTCTGGGAGGCTGAGGCGGGAGGACCATAAGGTCAGGAGTTCGAGGCCAGCCTGGCCAACATAGTGAAACCCCGTCTCTACTAAAAATACAAAACATTAGCCAGGCGTGGTGGCAGGTGCCTGTAATCCCAGCTACTCGGGAGGCTGAGGCAGGAGGTGGAGTTTGCCACCGTGAGCCAAGATCACACCACTGCACTGCAGCCTGGGCAACAGTGTGAGATTCTGTCTCAAAAACAGACAAACAAGAGACCTGCTTGGTCTTCGAGAAAAGGCACCAGCTCATGGCAGATGCAGTGGGTCACTTCACCACCCCACAGCAGAGCCAGGCAGGGTTGAGGCGCTGCATGACAGGAATCAGGACAGAACTATGTGTGAGCGTGCTCAGCTGAAGGCGGAGCCTTTCTGACTCTGAGCTCTTCCATGTATGTTTTTAAAGAAAACCTCCTGGATCCAGATGTGCATGTGGACACTGGAGACTGCTACAGAAACAAAGACGGCAGCAGGGGAGAGGACGCGGATACAGCCAGGCGGCGCCGGGCGCTGGAGAGGGCGGAGGAGCAGGAGGAGGAGGAGGAGGAGGAAGAAGAGGAGGAGGAAGCTGGTGAGAAGCGGCAGAGCTGGGTTGCTCCCAGTCTATCAGAGCCAACCCCTAAGCTGGCAGCCCACAAGGGTGGGGGTGCCTCAGTCTGAGAGATGGGGAGCGGTGGCTGGATTTTGCAGGCCTGACCAGTACCAGCTCCACCTTCTATCTTACAAATGGGGAAACTGAGGCTCAGAGAGTGGTGGTGATGTCAATGACCCACACAGCAAGCAAAGCCTGAGCAGGTTCTAGCTCTCCTTTTGAAGCGGGAGACAAGAGCTCTCTTGGGGCCAGGCAAGGTGGCTCACACCTGTTATCCCAGCACTCTGGGAGGCCAAAGTGGGTCAATCACTTGAAGTCAGGAGTTCAAGACTAGCCTGGTCAACATGGTGAAACTCCAGCTCTACTAAAAAATTCAAAAATTAGCTGGGCATGGTGGTGTGCACTGGTAGTCCCAGCTACTTGGGAAGCTGAGGCAGGAGAAGGATTGCTTGAACCTCCACCAGGAGGTGGAGGCTGCAGTGAGCCAAGATCCCACCAGTGCCCTTCAGCCTGGGCAAAAGAGAGAAGCTCTGTCTCAAAAAAAAAAAAAAAAAAAAAGCTTCTCTCTTGGGAGCTTCTCTAACTTCTTCCCTGAACTGAGCCCTCAGGGTTACCGTGGGGGTGTGTGCCCTACACATACTGCCCTCATATGTGCCTCACATCCCATACCCAATCCTGACCTGTCTGTCTTGGCCAGGCACCGAGATTGCCATCGTCCTGGATGGCTCAGGAAGCATCGATCCCCCGGACTTCCAGAGAGCCAAAGACTTCATCTCCAACATGATGAGGAACTTCTATGAAAAGTGTTTTGAGGTGGGCTTCCTAAGAGCTGGTCTCACATAGGTTATCACTTTTCCATTGACGAGTATCCCCTACCTCAGAACAGCAATCACTGTATTTGCTCACAATTGTATGAGTCAGGCACTTGGGCTGGGCTCAGCTGGTTGGTTCTTCTGTCCATCTTTCCTGGAGTTACCCTGGAGCCGCAGGCATCTGGTTGCTTGACTGGGGCTGGATGGCCTAAGATGACCTCACTCACTTGTCTAGACCACATGTCTTGAGCAGGCCAGCCCAACTTTTTCATGGCAGCAACATTTTAACAGAGCAAGATCCAATGCATGCAAGTATTTTTCAGGTCTCTAATTGCATCACATTTGCTGATGTCTCATTGGCCAAAGCCAGTCACATGGCCAATCCCATAGTCAGCATGGAGGGGACTATGAAGGGAGCTAGGCAGAAGTCTGTGATTCACTGGGGGCCATTACTCTCACGCCCTTCTCCATCCCCACTCATTTAGAGATGTTGCTCTTCCCAGGAATAAGCTAGAAGGAGTGGATTTTCTGCTGCTTCCAGGGGGAGCCATCTCAGGGGCAGGGCTGGCAACTCTTCCAGCCTCCTGCCCTCCTCCCCACCCCCTGCAGTGCAACTTTGCCCTGGTGCAGTACGGGACAGTGATCCAGACTGAGTTTGACCTTCGAGACAGCCAGGATGTCATGGCCACCCTCTCCAGAGTCCAGAACATCACTCAAGTGGGGAATGTCACCAAGACTGCCTCAGCCATGCAACATGTCTTGTGAGTGTGGGGGCAGCAGGAATTATTCTGGCCATGCCCGGAGTCTCTGTGGCATCCTGCTTGGGGGAAGTGGCTGGACAGAACTGGAGGAGACGGGAATTAAGGTTCCATCCTTTCCCTGGCTGAGAGAGAACATGAGGGATGACACCTCAAGGCTCCTTCAAAAAGTCTTCCAAAGACTTCCTCTTGTGAGAGGCAGGAGAGCAGAGTGCTCAGTGGACAGGCTGGCTGGTTTCAACTCTCAGCTCTGGTTTGTATCTGTGTGACCATGAGCAGACTGAGGGACTTCATGACCACCCTGTGCTTCAGTTTCCTCTCTTTAAAAATGAGAAAAATAGGCTGAGCACGGTAGCTCACACCTGTAATCCCAGCACTTTGGGAGGCTGAGGTGGGTAGATCACTTGAGGTCAGGAGTTCTAGGCCAGCCTGGCCAACATGGTGAAACCCCATCTCTACTAAAATACAGAATTAGCTGGGCATGGTGGTACTCACCTGTAGTCGCAGCTACTCGGGAGGCTGAGGCAGGAAGATTGCTTGAGCCCAGGAGTTCAAGGCTGCAGTGAGCCATGATAACACCACTGCACTTCAGCCTGGGTGACAGAGTGAGACACTATCTCTAAAAAAGAAAGGAAATTAATAGTACTTGTCTGATAGATTTTGCGAAGGATGGATGGGTTAAAATATACTGTGTTTATAACAGTACCTGCATGTGATAAGTGCCACTTGAGTATTATTCATCATTTTAATATCATTACTATTCCTGTACACACAAAAAAGCAATAGACTGCCGTCCAGCACCTTTTGCTGGGAGCAGGTGAGAAGCAAGAACACCTGTGCTGCAGCCCTGCCTCCTTAAGTGGCATCACCCCCTTCTGTGGGTCTTTTTCTTTCTTTCTTTTTTTTTTTTTTTTGGGATGGAGTCTCACTCTGTTGCCAGAGTGGAATAGAGTGGTGTGATCTCAGCACCCTGCAACTTCCGCCTCCCGGGTTCAAGCGATTCTTCTGCCTCAGCCTCCCGAGTAGCTGGGATGACAGGCATGTGCCACCACGCCCAAATAATTTTCGTATTTTTAGTAGAGACAGGGTTTCACCATGTCGGCCAGGCTGGTCTGGAACTCCCGACCTCATGATCTGCCCACCTCAGCCTCCCAAAGTGCCGAGATTATAGGTGTGAGAGGTGTGAGCCACCACACCCGGCCCTCTTTGGGTCTATTGGGAGGGTTGTGAACCTCCCCCTTCTAACATGGCGGAGAGAATCAACTCTCTCCTGGAGTCAGCCCTCCTGCGGGCGAAGCTCTCTCCTTCACTCTCCTGCTTAGAGACAGCATCTTCACGGCAAGCCGCGGCTCCAGGAGAAAGGCATCCAAGGTCATGGTGGTGCTCACCGATGGCGGCATATTCGAGGACCCCCTCAACCTTGAGACAGTCATCAGTTCTCCCAAGATGCAGGGTGTTGAGCGCTTCGCCATTGGGGTAAGAGCCAGGAGCCGGGAGGCACCTCCTGCACAGCCTGGGGTGGGGAGGAGCCAGGGTGGTCATCTGGCCTTTTCTGTGAGCAGCTTATCCAGACCCTGTTCATTTGCAAACGCTCCTCTTCTCCCCATGCCCTGAGAGGGTTCCTTTCCCCATGGTCGCCACAGCTTAGGGGCCAAATAGCGATGGGGGAATCCAGAGGAAGCACACCGAGGCAGGCTCCTGGAGGCCACGGTGCCGAGCTGCGTCCCGCCAGACAATCCAGAGGGGCTGGCCCAGGGCACAGGACAGGAGGGGCCTACAGGCAGAGGGCACAGCCTGTGCAGAGATGAGGAGGAGCTCTGTGTTCAGGGGCACGGGTGTAGTTTGGTCAAACTGGAATTTCGCCCAGAGTGTGTGTAGAACAGGGAGCGGGGTAAGGAGGGGAAAGGAAAGGAGGGGAAAGGAAAGCAGGGGAGAGGAAAGGAGGGGAGAGGAAAG